TACAGTGATTTTCTTCTGAGCTCTGCTTATCAGTGGGGCTCCAGGGATGAGCCTGATTCAGAGGTGCTGCACGTTGGGTAAATGGACAGCCATGGAGACACAGTCTTCCAGGAATGCTTGGGAATCTGAAATAGCCCTTGCACATCAATCCCCTCCTTCACCAGCTTTGCTTTATTCACCATCCATTGAACTGCACAGCTAACGTGCCATAGCAAAAAATGGTCCCAAATGACTTGCATGCACAGGAAAGCAGGATACCTGCACTCTCACAATTCACTCCTGGGAGGATGAGGATCCTCTGTTTAGAGGACTCTGAGGATGCTTTTCCCCCCCTTTCATTTGTTATTGCAGCTGGAATAACATTTTAAAAAGTAATGACAATTTTTCAAAAGCAGTATTTCAAAGAAATTACTCTGGTCACTGGTGGTTTGTGATCCACTTGTGACTGTCCCTGGGATAGAAGAAAAAAAAAAGCCCAGCTAGAAAAAGAACTGGAGGGACTGTACTATTTAGATGAGGAAAGATCAGTTGTGTGTTTGCAGAGAGGAAGAAGGGATTGATGATATATACAGGTGGCTAATATGGGTTAGGAAATTTAACTCACAAACAGCTTTAGCTTGAAGATGGATTGAAGGACACCTATCCTATAGGACATAGGATACAGGGCACATGTGCTCCTGCCACATAGACCCTTCAGGGGTACTGTGTCCCAGCAGGGACAGACAGCAGAACCCCTGCAGCTGACTCTTTATGGTCACAGGGCAACACAACTGAGTCACTACACACAAAAGCTCAGCCTGCAGATCACTGTGTGTTGAACCAATTCATCCTGCATCCTTAGGATGGGCATTTTAGGGTATCTGTGCTCACTGCACTCCAGTGGCTCTGTGATCTCTGGAACATAGAGATGTGTTGTCCCAAAAGTGCAACTTGAAAGGCTACATGTGGCAAAGAGCCTGCCAAATACAGATCCTGCATTTCCACCTCACAGAAAGGGAGACCAAGAACATACTGGTTGCTCAGGCTAGGACAGAGTGTCGCCTTACCTACAGGGGAAGGATGGGAAAAGAACATGGACTGGACTCTGCAGGAAGTTAAATGTCCTCCAAGAAAGCACATTTTGGACTTTAAGCATATGAATAGTCAACCAAATTTAAGGGGATTAGTCACATGCACCAAGTAAAGCACATGCTTAGGCACTTGGCCAGAGCAGATCTGAGGGACAGGGTCAAGTCCCTTAATGCTGGGATCACTGATAACAGATTTCTAAGAATTACAATTAGATCTGTCTGCTCTGCCAACTAGAAACCACACACTAGTCAAAAAGCTTCAATCTCTCTTCAGAAAGATACTTCAAAGCCTCCCCCAAAATGCAGAAACTCAGAGTAGCTGTAAGGGTGCTTCAGCTCAGGAGAGATGGAGACATTAACATTCACAAATTTACACCTGGATGTATTCTGGATCAACTCTGCTCTAAAGACAAGTCTGAGCACTCAGAACGTGTGGTGGGGCTGTGACCCCTATTCAGGGCTATGGAAGCACACAGGACTCCTGCCAGTTCTTCGAGAAGCACAGAGGGGAAATTCATAATCTCCCAAAAGGGTTCTGCCCTTACTTAAACCAGTGATGAGAGAACGGGTGTTTGGACAAATGGTTCTTTTGGGGATCCAGCTGGAGATTAATGTGACATGATCACCTGCTGCTTCAGACATTCCCATAGATTTTAAGATGTTTCATAGCCACACAGGCCTTACAGACACTATGCTAGAGCAAGTGGAAAATCACAGAACTGGCCCAAAGATTCAGGGTCAGCACTTTTCTGTTGTTAATAAAAATAACCATAACCCTCTTCCACCACTGCCACACACAGACACAGAGGCTTATATACAGCTTGTAAACCAACACCATCCAGAGAATACTTCATCAAGGCAAAACTGGTTTTATGCCAGCTGCAGAAGAAAAGGAAACCTTTGAAAATCCATCAAACAGCAAAATTACTTCCATTTCTTTAAATCTTAGTGCTATGCCTCTTTCAAAACTGCATCTGTAGAATACACCCTTGAACACTCAAGGACCACACAAGGATACATCATCACAGGAGCTGCTGTACTGCTCTGCCTGCCACAGGGCCTGATGGTAGACTCCAGATAGGTACCTCTGTGACTCTGGCTTACCTGTGTCACTCCAGATATCTGTATTTGCATGAAACATCTTTCCTATCACATTCACCACTGCAGAGGAGGAAGAAAGTTTGTATTCCAAGCTGTTTTTAATTAAACAGCTGCATAATTTCTTACCAATACGTTCGGGTTTTTTCCAAAATTTTTCATGCTTTGAAGAAATGAACAATTTTTTATAGGTCTTTTTTGGTTTCCAGTTATTGGTTTTCTGCATTCAGCCTTCATTTAGCTCTCCAAGGCAATTTTTGTTTTAAATTTCCTTCTTCTGTTCAGTGGTAATTCATCAACCTCCTAACCAAGTAGGCACTTGCACAGTCAAATGATTTCAAAATGTTTCAAAATCACTCTATTTGAAAACCTTCCCAGAAAAAAATAAATAAACCAATCTGCTTAAAAAGGAAGTTTCTTCAAAAGGCTTGTGTTTTAAACTCAAATAAATAAGTAATTTCTCTGGTCACATCTAATGTAAAATGAAATTATGAAACTTCAGTTGACAGAGATGGCACTTCAGTGGAAACACACTGACTTAGCAGCTGGCATTGGCATGTTTGGGGAATCTGTAGACAACAGAAAACAAAAGCTAGGTAGTTGAGCAAGAATGGAAGAAACCCAAATCTACTCTATTACAACATGCCCTCCAGAAACTTTATTTCTTTGAGCACTGTAATACAACTACATGTGTAAGAATTATTTGTTAGCTGGATATTTTTAAACCAAATTGCCAGCTATGTATATGGCATGACCTGGAAATTAATGCCTGCATTTCTGTGCAGCAGGCACAGGCTCCTTCTCCTGGTGAGATATTTTAGATGGAGAGGATAATTTTCTATTGACTAATGAGGACTGATATCATGCAGCTATCAGGTAAGAAAGGATTGCTGGTACTATCCCTGAATTAAGAGCGTGTTGGGTTGGATTGGTTTTGGGGAGACCTTTTTTCTTTGCCCTGTCTCCCTTTGCCTGCATATTTGTCAGTGGTGCCCTCACTTTTGCACATGGCAATTCAGTCATCATTCTTCAGAGTCCCTTTGGCTACACCCTTGGCCCTTCTTCCCTACCTTCCCCTCAGCCACTGCAAGGTAAGGTACCCTGCAAGGACCCACTGTCCTCACAGCCAAAATGCTTTTCTTCCTCTAATGGCCTTCATCCACCTCTTCAGACTTAGCTGTTTGTTGAGCTCTTCTGGGACCTATGACCTGAACAACAGGAAGAGCAGAGGGAAGGAAAAAGGAGACAATAGGAAGAGGAGTAGCAGGAAAAAGAGAAAGACCAAAAAAAAGAGAGAGAGTTCCATTTGCAGATTCACAGTTATATCATACAATGCTTAAGCTCATGGGAAATGGATCTCTGTTCTCTGCATCTGACCCTTTCACATCCATCTGTACACAGTTCTCCCAGATGGAGAGAGGAGATGTCCATTGAATCAGGGCAGTTTCCAAAGACAAGATGTGGGAAGGTCTTATTTGGCATACATGAACACAATGAGAGGCATCTCTTACTTCTCTTCTACAGAAATTATCTCCTTTTCCTCCTCCACAATTTTTGCTCAGTTGTCTCAAACATCCAAACCGGAAACTTGATGAAATCCCGTTCCATCAAATCCCTGGGAAGAACAGCTACCAGGCCTTCCCTCACCTCCCTTCTCCTTGGTCAGTCTTCCCCTGGATCCACCATCCTGAACTCTCAGAAGCTCCATGAAAAAAAAATAAAAAATCCTGCTGAAATCCACCAGAGAAGACGCACTCTCTCAGACCTGACGGCTTTCCTCACGCTTCTGCCGTTGCGGTGCCTCAGTCTTGGGCCACAAATACAGCATGGATGGTTTGGTGGACAATCACATTGCAATGTTTTAAATTTTTCTTTTTGTTAAAAAAAATAAATAAAATAAGAGGGAAGAAAAAGTTATACACACATGTATCACAGCATTTTCAAAAGGCCTTCTGCTGCATTTACATTAGCAGTTCAGCCTCATTTGTAAGCCTGGATGTAAGGCAGCTGGAAGATTAAAATCGCATTGTTGGAAAGTCTGCTGAGATGTCCTCTTGGAGATTTTTATTGTTTTCTGGTTTTATTTTCTTAGATGTTATTATTATTAATTTTTATTATTATTTTCACTTGTTTGCTTCTCTCTAAAGTTTGGCAGGCAAAGAGAAAATGCTTTTCTACTTTTCCTCACATATTCTGTCCATTTTGTTTTCTGCATTTTAAGGAGAAAAAAAACCCAACAAAACTCCAAAACCAATGACACAACTTCTGTCATTTTGTTTTAAGAAAGAAAAAGAATGTGGGTGGGTTTCTCATAATGGCCTTGAGGAGGTATGTTGTTGAAGTGGCTCAAGTGCTTCATTTGCTTGCTGTTTACATTTTCCCTTCTGGCTGCAATGGACACGCTTTTTGTGGCATTCCCCCCACACCTCTGCCCCCACCATGTCCTGTACAAATTCTGGTTCCAGATTCCCCACATGGATCCCCTGTTCCCCCTCCCAAATGGCAGTAGGTAGGTGCAACTGTAGATTCATTTAACCTCTAAGGTATGATGCTGAAGTTATGAGTTGGATGGAAGAGCCATGTGAGAGAAAAGCTTTCCCATCACTGTGAGAAAGAATGAAGCAACACAGAGTCCAGTGGAGATGTGAGTGCCATGTTGGACTCAGCTCTACCTTGGCACTGGCATTAACTTGAGATTTTATATATATATAATTATATATACATACATATGCATGTATAGACATACCTAGGCACATACATATATATATATATATATATATATGTATATATATATATATATGTCTTTGTGTGTGTATTTGTTTGCTGTTTGTTTTAGCACACTGTCCCATTCTCAGGTCTAGATTTGGGGCAGTTGGTCCTGGGGACAGGTTGGACAGAAGGGGCCAGAGTGCAGAAGAAGCCAGAGATCAGAGTGAGGCCCAGGCCCCCCCACGCACAGAACATGGACCAGCCATAGCCATGGCTGATGTCGTCGGGAAGTCCGTACAGGTAGCGGGGGTAGCGGGAGAGCTCAAAGTTGATTCCAGCCACGCACGTGCACAGTGAAATGATGCAGAAGGTTCCTGGAGGAGAGCGGGAAGGGGAGAAGGAGGGAGGAAAAAAACAAAGAGAAGTTAGAAGAGTGACAGACATACCCCTTTCCAAGCTGCATGAGAAGAGCTGGTGCAAGCAGTAAGGAAGTGCCTAAAGGAAGACGTTTGTGTAGAGAGTGGCTTAGTCTGGAGGCTCCATGGAGAAAGAACAGAGTGCCACCAGAGCCTTGAATATTGATCTGCTGCTGAACAGAGCTGTATGGAGAAACTTCAACAGGAACACTTTTTCATTCTGAGCACTCCCTTGGGAACCAGAATGCTCCATGGAACCATTGATTTTTCTGAAACTTTGCTTCACAGAGTAAATACAGAATGAATAATCATGTTTTGACATTTTTGGGAGGGAAAATAACCTTGAATTTTTTGTTTCATTCCAATTTTTCAGTGATAGGCTTTATAGAATATTACAAGATACTTGTCATCTTCTGGCTCTGTTGAAATGTACATTTGAACTTATGTGGGAGATTTTCTTCATGCTTTTCTTATATCAAAATACAGAATTTTTCATTATACAGTTTCCTTTTAAATATCACTAAAAAATTCTTTAAATACTTCACAAAACTCAGATTCTGCCCTCTGCATGACTCCAGTTTCAATCCAGATGCCCTCTGCCACATTGCTGAAATCTTCAAAATATCCTGTTCTTGTCTTCCATCTCTGCAGCAATATTTCATTTCTTATTTCTTCCTGAGAACATGGCAAGGACAAACTTCCTAACTCTGTAAGGTGATGTTATGGAATAACACACGTATCAGATGAGGCTGAACTTTATCCCACCCAGATGAGTCTAATTTTGATCTTTGGCCTTCAGCTTCATCAAAGCTAAACTCTGAGCTCCTGAAATGTCACAATTGCCACCCACACACCAAATAATGGATAGATACAGATGCTACACACCTGCCACAAGAGATAACTACTCACGTCAGTGTGAAGTTGCTACTTTATTTTTCTTCTCTAATTCCTCCCTTTGTGGGCCTCTCTGAGTTGCCTGGAGAGCCCTGGGCACAGAAGGCAGCCTACAGGACTCATGCTACAGGACACACACAGTCAGTCCTGTGTGTCCTCCCTCTGTTCATGCATGGATCAGTAGCATGTGACATGTGCTACCTGTGCAACACGTCCTACATCTGTTCACTTACAGCTGCTGGTGAGGAATGTCCTCTTCTTCCTGGTCTGATCCCTAAACCAGCAAAATCTTCCAAAGCAGTCACAATCCGCCTAGTTTCAATGACAAGCTCCTGTCTTCTGCTTAATGGATGTCCTTGCTTCCTTCTATTCCTTCCTGCCCCTGGCTCTGCTTCTCTTCTGCAACAATTTTGCTGTTGTTTCTCTGCTGCTTTTTTCTTTCTAGTTGCAATTGCATTGAATAAATGAGTTTGACCCTCCCCACTCTGAACACAGAGGTAAGATTATTTGGTGAATTCCCATGGAATTTGGTTCAGGAACTGCATTTGCAGGAACATACCCACATCACCAAAATGTGTGGACTTTCCATTATACTCACTTCCTTTATTTAGCAGGAACATCACATAGACATTGAATCTACAGACAAATCTCTATCATTGACCTCCACGGAGGTCACTGTTATGGTTCCCTCTTCTGATCACTGCTATGCCTGTTTGGATGGCCTTTTCTCCACTGTATTTTGGAATGTCACTTATAGATAGTCTCTGCTGTAAAGGTCAGGTGCTTCCACTAATGCCATGTACAGCTGCCAGATGGCCCAGAATATTCACAAATACTCACATTATGGGAGTGCCACTGGGCACTAGTGAGGACCAGCAAGCTGCTGCAGTAGGTACTATGGCTATTTCATTCCAAACAGTCTTCTTGCCTCCCACCAGCACCCCAGCAGTCTGCAATCAGTGATCTGGATCCTTGCAAAAGCCTTGTGAGATCCCAAGCTTTGGAGTTGTCCTATACTACTTCAAAGCACAGAGTAGGATAAATGGGAAGATCACCATCCCACAATCCATTAGACAAAAATCAGGTTATTTGATTAAAAACCACACATCCTTTCCATGTTTGACTCTGTTACTTACATTATTCAATGGTATGAAGATGTTTGACAAGAATGCGGTTGTTCTCTATGTTCTGTGTCAGAATGATTAGAACATTGTGGGATCGGGGAAAAAATGATGCCTCAGAGGCACTGTGCTCTGAACTGAGCTCTGTAGCTCATTTCAAATGGTTGTGGTTAGAAAATGACAGGGAAGGCCTTTCTTTGCTAGTAAGAACATGATAATTTCTGCTTTCTCAAAATATAAGATTGTTAAGAGAGGTGGGTGGGAAAATCTGTGTGGCCAGACTACAGCTGCATTTGCTAAGTACAAAAGGGAAGGAAATAACTTTGGATTTCAAATTCTCTCCGTGATTTCATGCTTTGTCTTGGCTGTTTTGTTCACAAGCTCTTCAGTGCAATGAGTGTTGCTTACTCTTTGTATTTGAACAGTGCCCAATATATTGGCACTCCACCTTGCTGAGGGTATTCTGCCCCTTAACAAAGGAACAACAAAGAGGAGCAAGTAACAACACTAGAGAACTAAGCAAATCACAAGTATGAGACTTCTTTAAAAAAAGCCTGGCCCCTTTCTGGAGAATGTGCTAACACATGATGACAAATAATGACTGCTGTGCACAATGTCACAGAGTGCAGAGAACAGTCCTCAGCCTGCCACCCCCCAGTGCTTCTGCAGGATGTCTTGTACAACACAGACTTATCTGTCTCTCTAGCACTGTTCATTGCAGACACAAAAAATGCCATTTTACGCCATCTAGAAAAATCGTTATGGCCATTTTATGATCCTATGTGTTGCTTGTGTTCAACCAAGCAAGGAAGTTCCTGCTTATAGTTAATCTGGCCTCTCACCAGGAAGGCTACTGATGAAAACCAAGTAAGGTTCCTACCTCATGACTGTTCAGTAGCTTTTCCTCATGAACTGGCAGTCACAACACAAAAGATCATCCTTGAAAATTGCACAGTTGTTGGCCATTGTAGTGAAGGAGTCATGGGTAAAAGGGATGCAGAACCTGAGCTTACCTGTGGAAAGGAAGCCTCTGCTAGTCCAGGTAAGACATGGAGCTGAGGTGGCAGGAGGAGGGAGGCTATTGCTCCTGCCCATGACACTCTGCACTACAGACACAGTGCTTCAGAGGCAGCAGGACTGCAGGAAGTAATGAGCATTCCCAACCCTATGATCCTTTTTCTCCCCAGAAATCAAACTGAACCCTTCCGCAGTTTCCTCCCAAGTTTTTGCTGTCAGTGAGGCATCCTCCTACATATGCACTAATACCCCAGATCCTCTGGAAACTGCACTGACACAAACTTTAATTTCTTTGTGAAAAACACCCCCCATAGCTGTCGTCCAAGCAGATGACCAGACCTGAAGGCTGGTGGTCCAGCCATGGCCCTGGCACAAAATGTGAATGGCAGGTGTTAATAAGTACTTGCTGGTACATGAGCTGCACAGGGAGATAAAGGCCATGTCCTTCAGCAGCAGGGGGGAGCAGAACTTCCAAAGTTCTTTGTGCTGGGATTTACACATTATCCTCCTAAGTGAAACCTAATGAATGAGACATGGCAACAGTGGGATTTTTGACAGGTAATTCATGTGTCACTGCAAAATACTTCAATCAAGTGAGAGATGAAATTTCACGTAAAGCTGTGTCTGTGCCCGAAAAACTGCTGTTGGACATGTAGTCAAACCTCCATCCTGACTCCATGTCAGATAGCCTCCCTTCATCTTGGCCTGGTTCTGACAGTGTCTGTCCTGCTAATGGGCTGATGATCATCAGTGGTTTGAGAACCTGAGCTATTAAATACCTCTTGGTTATCTTGTGCCTGTCTTTGTTATATATTACAGAATAATATTAAAAATTACACTGAATGTCCCTTTCATTTAGATTGGAAGGTTTTTTAGGATAGAGATGAACTTATTTGCTATATATGTATATAAGATTGGGGTCCTGCCATCCTTGCTGCAGGGGCAGACATGGTCTGAAGAGGGATGGCAGGGAAAGGTAATGTCAGTGTTGGTCAAAGCCTAATTCCATGTGGATTATGAGTCAGAGCCCTTTGCTGTAGCTGTTTTCAAGCATGATTATATCAAGCAGTGCCATGGGCCTCTGCAGCAAGGAATTAATTTTTTCTTTTTTGTAAATGTCCCTTTCTTTCCAATCAGCCCAGCTGTGTGAGGGTCTGCAATGCCTCCACAGTTTTTAAACCTCACCTCCAGGGGAGACCAAAACTGCTTGTAAGTGAACTGATTTAAACACAAACAGGCTCAAATCATCCATAGCAAATCTGTTTGAATTTTCCCTGATGCTAGTATCTCCTTGAACCATGTCAGAAGCCATGTCCTTCACCCATAGACCTGGCTCAACTTCCAGAGTGATAGAGCTTGAGGGATTTCCCAAGGTCCATGGTGTCTTGAGACAAGAACTGGTGCCTTTCTTAGATGCACTGCAGATGAAGGGAAACCTTTGTGGTGCTAGGGCATAAACAGGCCCTGTTGGCAGGAGCTTCATCTAAACAGCCTCATCCTTATTATTAGAGAGGAGGTGTCTGACTGGAACCTGAAGGAGACATCACCAATCTAAAGGCATGGGAAATCCAAAAAGCCAGTAATTAAAATGATCTGGGCACCAAGCCCATCTCTGAGACCCTCCTCCTACAGATCATTTGTCTCATGATTTGGAAATAATTTCCTTCACATCTGACAGAATGATATTCGTTCTCTCCCTTCCCCCCACAACAGATATAAATGACTCACAAACTGTGCTGTCAGATGTACAAAGTAAACAACCCCAAAAACTGATTCTTCTCACCTTCTGTTATTTTTAAAGCATACAGAAATGTCAAGTATTACTTATAAATTGGTAGATAAAAAGAAAACTGTAAAGGTATGGATTTTAAGATGTCCTTTGAAACCATGCAGTTTTCAAAAAAAAGTAAATCTCTGCGTTTTAAA